TATATATATATATATATAAAAATATATAAATATAATAGGCAGGTTACCTGAAGAATAACTTTGCTGGCTTCCTGTAATGTGGACTCTGTCTAACTTTGAGCAGGAGGTTCATGGTGTTTGTTCACTGAGCCGCGTTACGACAAAGGTTTGACTTTACTGCGTTTCAGTCTTCCAGCAATGCTAGTCAGTATTATTCTCCTAAGTCCCAAGAGAATTATTGATTCTGCTGAAATTGCTGCTTCATAACCTTGTTTCCATTTCTTTATTTTCCTCTGTCGTAAAGGAAGTTCTGTCAATGAGGCTGGTTGTATCTGAGTCAGGGAGCTGAACCTGAGACCTTGTTGTATGCAGGTTCACTGCCTCTCCAGCATCACGGTGACCCAGTCAGCAGTTTACCACGTGTCTCCTGCCAAAACAATACTTGGCCTCACTGTGTCTTTATCTTCGTCCTTCCTCTTTTGCTTCACTAGCCATTAAAAGCCATATTGACGCTCTAAAAACGAACGGTGAACTTCTCGAAACAATTTAGTGGTATAAATCTGCCAGGCACTGAAGTTGTAGTGAGGGCGACAAGTTGACAGTAAATGAGTATTGATCTTTTGACTCATGCCGTGCAGCTGCTTTCTAGCCGAGTGGGTTTATTCCTACAAAGTTGTCAAGGAGAGGCCTGTTTAATGGGAAGTTATCAATTCAGTGTGGAGTTTGAGTACCTTTATGTGCTTACACGATGGACCGGCTTTTGGGCTTTATTTGTGATGCGGGAGAAAGATAAAAGATATTAAATACAAATATTAAATAAAATAAAAAGCAGAGTTAGATGGAGAAGATGAGGCAGGAGCAGAAAATGTTGTGGGGGGAAAAAAACTGGGTTGGAGTTGTTTAGGTTCTCACATTAATGAAATTTGAACAGCCTGGGTATTTATAAGGCTGCTGGTATGGGATTGGTGCTTTTCTCAAATGTGATTAAATGCTTCTCTGCTATGGAGTCTTTGAAGAAACAGATTTGAAGATGGAGTGCAGTGTGAGTCAGAATGTAATTCAGTCAGTTAATGACATTTGCTTGTAAATGATTAAATATTATTTAACCATGGCAGGCAGACACTACAAGTTGCCTCGGTTTCACTTCAGTGGGGAAAGAGCAGCTGGATGGTGGAGAGTGAAACAGTGGGAGTTTGTGTGGGTGGAATGCAGGTTAATAATATAGAAAGGCTAGTGAGTTGTGAAGTAAATACTAAGGCAAGTGGTGATAGGTATGAGAGAAAACACACAGGATTTGTCAGACATTTGAAAAGGTCATAGTTACGCCAGAGTGAGAAAATAACATGCCAATTGGCTGAACTGGGTGTTTGTGTGTGAGCTGTCCAGACGGCTTTTTACATGTAACTGGAAGAAATTGCATATATATATATATATATATATATATATATATATATAAATTAGTCTTAAGCACTGCTGTCAGGTCACCAATTACCTTCCTTGCCAAGCGCATTGGTAGCACTCCCCTAATACTATTTACTGCCGAACCCTGTGGAGTTCCTGCAGTGCCCGCAATCTAAATCTCTACACCCACAAAGCCTGTCAGTCATACAAGTATTATTAGCCTTTACTACAGAGATATTAGCAGATGTACAGAAAGGAGCATGGGAGTAGTTTTGTTCTGTGCTAGAATAAGTTCCTGCGAGTGTTAGACTTTAATTAAAAAGCCGCTACAGGTCAGTGAGCCATATATGTGTCAAGATCTGATGTAACAAGAGTTTCTGATGAGAGAAACTGCTTAACTTTAAATTGGGAAAGTTTCTGTGAAATCCATAAAATATTCAATAATGAAATAAATAAATGTGTGTATGAAGGCAAATTCTTGAGATGGATGAGAGTGCCCAACGTACATTATTAATGTGAATCATGGAATAGATTGGAGTCGGAGTCAGACAACTTTATTAGTCTCAATGGGCAATTCATTCATTAACGGAGTTAATTACCACAATAAGATAAAAAAAAAACCATCTGGGCTGGGTGCCTGTGGGGGATTTCAGGCATGGGTAACTAGAGGGGAGGTCCAGGGTTTGATCCAGAACTCTCCACAGATTACAGTTCTTAAAAGGCCTCAGGACCAGCTGTGAGGTACTCATCGACTCTGCTGGGCAAAGAACATCCAGTGGGTCCTGCTTGGTTTGTTACTATGGTGACAGTGGTTTTGAAGTACTGATGGAGTAAATTCAGTGAATTAAATGCAAACGATCCAGCTCTTTCTATCCTTCCGTCAGCTTTTAGTCTTGGCGGGGCACAATTCAGAAGTCCCCCAACATTTTTTTTCAGCCGCTTGCTTTGCTTCTCTGACCCATGAGCGTTCGGATCATTCAGACATCAAGCTGTGTTCTGCCTGCAGCAGCTTGTTGTTTTCTGAAAGCTTTTTGAAAAACCAAACTGTGCTGCAGTAGCTCAACATTGTGAAGCACTTGTTCCTCGTGGTACGGTAAAGACGTAAACACAGAAAACAAGTTGAAGTTTGGACTTTACTGGTTTCAAATTCTTCCTCAAATCAGTTCAAACTTTGTTCTGTGTAAGGTGGGTTCATAAAGCTGCTGACATGCTGTTGGTTTGTTAGTTGTGGAGCTGGGGTTACATAACTCACTCGTGCCAAATGTACCAGTGATTTTAAGTCTTTTTTTTTTATGTGGTGGTATACCAATCATTGCTCAGACCAACAGGAAAAACATCTACACCAACATCCTTAAAATACTTGGCCAGTATTAGCAATAAAATATTCTAAAGCATTTTATCATTTGATTTTAAAAGCCTAACTAATTTCAGCTCTGAATTATTACCAAATGATGCTCAGGGCCAACTCCATAAAGCCCCCCCCCCCCCCCACCCCCCCCACACACACACACACCCTCTCTCTCTCTCTCTGGGGTCATACCTGAAGGACTTTGATCTTTTAATTTGTGATGCTAATGGCTGCGCTGCTGAACCATCACTGCTGTTTGTCTCAACTGCAGTGTTGCTGCTGGGCATTTTCCTCTACACTCGCTGGAGGTCCTACAAAGGGCTGAAGGAGGGCGTGTACCACGTGTCTGCGCATCACGACGGGTGGGAGGACATCCGAGAGAACGTGCTCAACTACGACGAGGAGGGAGGCGGGGAGGAGGACCAGGTACTCGGATACACACGCAGTCATGTTATAGTGTTGGAGAAAGTTCTAAACACACTTTAAGGATGTGAGGCCTGTTTCATGTTTAACTCACTTTAATGCTGCACTCACGGCTGCATGAAGAGGAAGTGTCTCTAACTACAGGATTTTCATTTTAAAGTCTGTGGTTACATTTGATTTTTCGAAGCTTGCCGTTGGACACATGGAAGCAGCTCTGCAGTGGATTAAGTCAATTCAATTTGGACTAAATTCTGCAGTGTGTGAGGTAGTGTTTTAATTAGGCCCACGCAAAATCCTTATCTCCTCTCTCCAACCAGCCAGTGTAACCCACATGCACTCAGCAGTGCTTAAGAGCTTGCATAATATCAAAGCTTTGATCGAAGCAAAAACATGAGGCTGCTGCATTGCTATGCCTGCACACATACACACATACTTAAAGCAGTAAGAAAAAGAAGGTGTGAAGCTGGATGAGGCCAATGAAGCAGAAGCTTCCAGTTTGAGACTTTGAGTCTCTCACCATTTTATTTTTTCAGGAAGTCATCATGACAACCCAGACCTTCAACTTGTTTGTAAACAATTAGGATGGATTAATCACTTTGTAGTATCAGACTTGTATATCTACAAACATTATGACAGCCACCAGAAGCTGTGAGCTACATCAGCTGGCATGCTGCAGCCCGTCACTAACGCAACAAGTTTTCTGTCTGCTAACAGAATTTTTCTGATGTTATAAGAACGTCTGAAGAGTGTAAGATGTTTCTGGCATCTCAGTTTAGTCTAAGTAGTTTAGTCTAAGTATGAAAAATGTCTATGAAATTACTATTCGAGCAGTACTAAACATTAGATTTTGTTATCCTAACAAAATCCTAATTCTAACGCAATTCAGTAATGAATTTCATTTGTGCAAAAATCTATAGGAATACACAAAGTTTGTTTTCTCAGTCATCCAGGTATATAACAACAAAAAAGGTTGAATCATGTCATCTGGACTTCGTTTTTTTGTTAAAAAGAAACGTTTCGCCCCTCATCCAAGAGGCTTCGTCAGTCTGAGGCCTAGCCATCTGGTATTACCCAGAAGCCACCCTGACTCTTGTGTTTCAAGCCTGCCTCAGATACCCCTGAAGTCTGGCCTTTTCACTAATGGTTTTAAAAACACAAACTTTGTGTTTTTAAAACCATTAGTGAAAAGGTGAGGCAGGCTTGAAACACAAGAGTCAGGGTGGCTTCTGGGTAATACCAGATGGCTAGGCCTCAGACTGACGAAGCCTCTTGGATGAGGGGCGAAACGTTTCTTTTTAACAAAAAAACGAAGTCCAGATGACATGATTCAACCTTTTTTGTTGCTATAGGAATACATTTTTAAAATCAGAAACAAATAATTTTCTCCAACAGTTAGGAATATTCGTAGTTGTTCAGTTCTGTACTAATGAATAATGTATTTTTGCAGATAGCATCAAAATAACCATCAGTAATGGTTTTAGCTGGTTTAGAGAAGAACTGGCCAATACTGGGTCCAGGCCAGAACTTCTCTGACACCAGTTTGGTGAAGAAGAAACTCAGATGGAGCATGTCTCATGTGTGGTTCAAACTGCAGCAGAGACGTGCGTCCACACAGCCGGTGTTTCTGAGACGTGCGTCCACACAGCCGGTGTT